CAGCCCAACATAAAGAGATGGCTGAAGTGATAGACTTCGTTCATAGTGTGGCTAGAGGTATACTAGCTAGTGAAGTGATAGATAGCTTTGGTCCAGCAATATTCTGAAGAATGATTAGCATATCTTTAGTGAGAGTAAGAGGAAACATTAATTTTTTCTACGATCACGACCACTATTGATCTAACCACCATAATCATATCCATTACAATGTCCCATAACAATTTTATACTGTATAAAAAATGGTGGAACCAAAAGCTCAGTGATTTGGAAGATACTGATTTCAATGTTGGGATTACGGAATCTATTAGCATTTAAGATTATACATGTTGGCGGAAGGACGAGTTTCAGACAGTAATATTGTGATAGGAAATTCTCATTTATATTTCTGCCAGATTGTTTGATCAATTACATATTTGCGAGGCTATGAAGTCCCACATCTTCTTGGCAATGTTTTTAATAATGACAATTTAGGCAATAAAATTATTTAGTAACTTGGCAAGAACAGTGTTGTTTAATCTCAATGAAGCAAATTGATGTATTTTATCCTAGGAATAGACTAGTAAGCAAAATGCCCTTCATCATAGGTGATAGTTGGTGGTTGTGGAGGAGGATTTCAAGTCATTAAGATCAGATTGAGATGCCATGCTATTTTTGAGTGAGAGAGCCTAAAGAATCAAAGAACTAACTAATATATTAAGAAATTGCTATGTATGAATCATTGTGCCCAAGATAGCAGATGGTGGCAACGAGCGCCATTACTATAGAAATAATGTGAAGATCAGGCATGCGAGCATAGTGGATTCACAAGTTGGTGTGTTGGTGTGTCGGCAAGTGATGGAGTTAACAAATGAACAAGTGTGTTCAGGCAAGCAGGCTAGAGCAGGAAAGATAAAGCGATATTAGGGAGACATAAATGCAAACTTAATAAAAAGGTAGGTACACTAATTATGATGACTTGTGTTGGGGTGATACAAACTGATAGCAACTTTAGCATAGGCTAAAATGACAATTATAATATGAATGTATGGTGTAAACTTGATTAGAAAGACAATGATTATAGCATCAACTTTAAATAGAATTGTAAAAAATAGACCTAGTTTATCTTATATATATAGGTAAGGGTAGAAGATGCGCTATTAAGTCAACTTAATTTTTTAGAAAAACTATTTAATAAGAGGGTCACATGGATAGAAATTGTGCAAAAATATTTGTTGAACTTAAAATGAAGGCATCATACAACACTTGACAAAAATAAATGGAGTTAAAATTCAAAAAGCACTTTCTATGTAGTTTTGATAAGGTTAATGATGGTGTGATGATGCTCTAAAATTAACTTGATTGCTTGGAAAAATAACTCTTTGGTTGAAAGCAAAAATGTTAGCATGTTTTATTGTTTAGTAGAATTGATTTATTTATTTTTAACAGTTAGAATAAGCTATGTGGTGTAGCAAAATGTGTTTGGCATTGCTTGATTAAACTGTTTTATATATGCTGACTTGTAAATCTAACCAGAAATTTATTGGATATGGCTACTCATTAGAATGATGACAATGGTGATGAGGACCATTTGGAGGCTTCTTATGTAAATGATTAAATATGATTTGAATATTTGAAGAGGATATTGAGAAGAAAATTTTGGAAAGAAATAGTATGGAGCAGCACCAAATGAAAGCAAGACAGTGAAATTACACTTACATTGTTTTGATGCAAACAAAGAAGGGTAGAAGATGCACAAGTGAGATAAATTAATTTATGTGGAAGAACTATATAATAATAGGGGTAAAAGCGATGGTTACATGGAAAGAAGTGCAAAAATATACATAAAATATAAAGTGAAGACCACGTGTGTCACTAAAAAAAAAAGAATGGAGTTAAAATTCATGAAGCATACCTTAACTAGTTGTGATAAGGTTAATGATGATGTGATAATGCTCTAAAATTAACATGATTGCTTAGAAAATAAGTAATCTTTTTTGGACTCCATTACTTAGAAAATAAGCTATGTGATGTAGCACAATGCAATGACATTGCTTGATTGGATTATTTTTTAAATCTAAACTTAGATTTATTGTGGGTGGCTAATGATGAGGATGGTGATAATGATGGTTTGGGCATTAGGAAATGGTTTGGATTTGATTTGACTTTTTAAGAGTATTGAGGAGGAAAATTTAGGAATGAAAAAGGCTAATTTCTAGCTTGTCTTTCACATAAAAGAGTTGGTGTTGTATTTTCTACAAAGATGATGTAGTAAAAAGGAAAATGATTCATTGAGAGTCATGGGAATGAATTTTAATTTACTTGTTTTTGGATTTATTTTAGGAAGGATTTTGAGTCCAAGTAAAGGAAAAAAATATCTTTAGGAGTTCTAAAGAAAGAATAAAAAAATTGAAAAGACGTTTTTTAAAGAAATTAGAAGATAGATTTAAGTTTATGAATTGCAATTTGGAATTAAGAAAATGTAAAAGATAAGAAACTCAAAACAAAATCACATTTTATCATCTAGTTTCTTATGAAATGTATTTTAGTTTTTTTTATTTTTAGGGCACATGTAAATTTAACATATATCAATCTGCTTTCATGGCATGACCCCTAGATACAATTATTTGTCCGTGTTAAGGATTCATTTGATTCAAATTATTTTGCCTACTTTGTCAAATAAATTATATATATTTAGGGTTGTCAAAACGGTTCGTTGTTCTCGAACAACTTGTGTTCGACTCGTTAAGAAGCTCTTGTTCGGCTCTTGTTCGCTAAGTTAATGAGTTGAACACGAGCAAAGATTTATTCGTTCAGTCGCTAAGTTAATGAGTTGAACACGAACAAAGATTTATTCGTTCATGTTCGGCTTGTTTTGGCTCCAAATACTACTCATCAGTTATATTGAAGAAAAATATTTTAAAAAAATTGACTACAAGGCTATAAAAATTTATAATCAATTAAAAGTATTAGTTAATAAAATAGAATAAAATTTATTAAATTAGATTCAAATGATATTTTAATATAAACAATAATTTTTAAATCTTGCCCCAACCCTTAACATCTTTTGGCTACGTGATTAGGTTTGTCAAAACAACTATTTATTTGTGAACAACTCGTGTAACGAGCCGAATGCGAACACACTTTTTGAGCTCGACATATAAACAAGTCGAACACGAGCTGAGCCTGGGCTCGCTCGTGTTCGGCTCGTTCACACCCCTACATATATTGTTTGGATGAAAAAAGTTGGACAATTTTATCATAGATCTAGAAAAATTTTAGACGTTAAAACATAATTTGTGGCTTTTGAAGTTGCTTTAATTGGAAAAAAAGAAAAGGGGATTTACATATATAACACTCAAAATTTTTTATATAACAAATTTATACTTAAATTTATCCATTTACTTTTAAAGCACCCAAAACATTATATTTGCTAAAAATTAACCCTTCCTATTAAAAACAGTGCTCGATTTTGGCGAGGCTATTGGAGTTCAAGAAAGCGAGAGAGATCCCGTTTGAGCAGGATTTAAGCACGATTTAACCTAAATCCTGCCAAATAGCAAAAATAACAAAAATGGTAAGTTTAAATTCTACATGATGTTAATATCATTTCATCTCTTTTTTTCTTTAGTTCTCAGATTTATGGGATTTAGAGGAACTGAAGAGCGCGAAGAGGGGGTGATGAAAGGGGGAAAAAGACGAGGGTTACCTTCCTCTATGGTTTTGGGTAGGAGTCGAGGGAGAAAGATGAAAGTTTCAGAGGTCTTTGTATGTCGCGATCCCATCCTTGCCTTTCCTAGTTAGCTCTAGTTGTGTTTGTTTGTATCACAATCATTTTGGTAATGAGATGGGGAAGTGGACTAGCATTACTATTTTTAATGAGAAGATTATTTTTGAGAAAATATAATGTTTTGGGTACTTTAAATGTAAATAGATAAATTTAGGTGTGAAATTTGTAATATAAAGAGTTTTGGGTGTTATGTATGTAAATTCCTCTAAAAGAAAGCATATGCGATGACGATTGGGGCCTAAGGTTGAGATATGATTTGGTGAGGATGAACCATCAATGTTTCATAACGATGAATTATGATAGTAAACAAGAAGCTGAAAGCATATTATGGACAATCCCATGAATTATTTAACAATGATTGCCATCATAATGATCTTCTCATGTGTAGAAGCACAAGATTTGGCTCAATTTGGTATGATAAGGTGCAACGATGCAAAAGATATCATTATTCAATTGACATAGTCAATGGAATATGAAACTACTCTTGGATGATTACTAACCTTTTATATTTGACAATTGTCATAAAGATAAGGAAATAAATCATAAAATATAGGAAGATTTTACTTTACAAATGCTTGAAGATGTGTATTTCAGTTTTTAAAATTAAAAATGGTGGTATTTTTTGTGTTATGGAACATTTGGGTGGTATAAATATATAAAGTAAAGTTTAGGCGTTCGATATGTAAATACTTACATGTGTGGTCTTAGTCATTATAACTTATTTTGATTCCTTTAAGCTCATTTTTCATTCTTCTTATTGAATCTTATATGTGGCGTTAAATTTGTTCTTTGTAAATCATTTTAAAAAACTTCTATCCCTGTAACCATTGATCTACCTTTTTTGTTTTAATTTTTCGACGTTATGTATTCATCTAATAGGCCGATTTTTTACATTAACTGTACGTGTCTTAACCATCTAATTTTATTTTCCATCATCTTATCTTTAATGGATGTTTCTGTAATATTTCTTTTGATATAATTATTCCTGAATTTATCTTTATTAGCTTTACCATACATCCATCTTAACATTCTCATTTTTGCCACACTCAACTGACATTAATGCCTTTTTTTCAGCTCAACATTTGGATCCATACAACTTCGATTCTCCATTGAACTTTCAAAAAATAAATTTAGTAGTTATATATCCTCATTTATATCATCATTATGAACTTTGATTTGTTTTATCTATTTTCTTTAAGTTTGATTCAAACCAAATATGTTTTCTTATATATAGGGTTATGATGTGGTTGCTATGGCCAGCTCTACGCGCTTTGTTGTAGGCTTGGATGTATCAACTACTGCTATTAATAAGGCCAAAGAGGTATGTTTATTATGTGAAAAATAAAGCTATACTCCCCAAACAAATTACTTATAAACTGAATTTTCTAGATTCTCTTGAACTAGATTAGCAGGTGCGTATTTCTTTCCCATTTTATTTAGTCCAAGCACCCGCACCCACACAAAAGATTTAGATACTTCGGTGATCTTATTTGGGGAGCTTACCATTACTCTTATGTGAAAGATGAATGAGTGAAGAATCCCTACACTAGTTCAATTTCTGATGCATGATCCACTTACAAAGGTGGAATCATCAAAACATGATGCTCCGATAGAAAAATATGAACATGAGTCCTAGCTTTTCATTTTTTGAATAATTGGCTCTGAAAAACTCTCCATTTACTGGCTGATTTATTGATGTAAAGTTTCTTGATCCAAGATGAAAGAGAAAGGGCATACTTCCCATGAACATTGCTCTCTTGAAGAAGCCTTCAGCATTGTAATCCACTAACAGGATCTATCTTGAGAAACGCATGTATGACTAGAGCACTAGGGGACGGCCATGTCGAGCTTTTTTTTGTCTAATCCTTCAACTTTAGATAGATTGAAATGCTGTATACTTGTATTAGAATGAGCACCAGAGGAATACTTAACAGTTGGAGCTGGAGTTAAGCGTACGTTGGAAATTAACATGATTGTTGCCGGAAGTATCGATTTGGAAATGGCTATTCGGAGGATGCAATCATCCCATGATATCATATCATGCTTCCATTGATTTTTGGCCTGAGTTAAAATAGGTATTTTTGACTAACAAAAGGAAGATATACATAATACCAGTCAACTCTTTTGTAGTTTCGTATCTAACACCATAACATCAATTTTTACATACATGCCACCTTGCCTGTGCATGACAGGTGTATTTCTATTTTTAAAGTTAAAATAATGTTATTTTTGATGTTGTATGAAAATTTTGGATGGTATAAATGTAAAAATTAAAGTTAAGGTGTAAGATATGTAAATACATAAGAATGGTATGTATGTAAACGCTCCGTAGATAAATGCTAAGTTTTGGTTTGTTGGCTTTTTTTTGCTCGTGATATCTTAGTTGCATTAGTCCCTTTTCTTGTTATGATCTCTCATACTTGTAATCCTTTCATGTGATGTTTCTTTTTATCAAGTTTTCGCAAGCAAACTTTGACATAACAAAAATGACTAATTAATCTGTTTTATTTCTGTTAAATCCAGCTGTCTTCTTCATTACCAAATGCAAGATATTTTACTTTCCTAGAAGAAGATTTCTTTACTTGGACCCCACCTGAGCTTTTTGATGTCATTTTTGATTACACGTGAGTCTGATATTGCTGCTAGTTCTTCATTCTCGTGAAAAGCATCTTATGAAGGTGAGAGCGCAGGTTTTTTTGTGCTATACATCCCTCAATGCGGTCAGCTTGGGCAAGTAAAGTAAGCGAACTTCTAAAGCCAAATGGAGAACTTATCACACTAATGTATTTGGTGAGTATTTTGTACTCTTTGCATTTACATACATACCACTCAATTCCTATGTATTTACATGTCTAACACCTAAACTATATTTTTTACATTTATCGCACCCAAATCTTTCATGCCACATCAATAATACCACTTTTAATTTTAAAATGTGAAATATGCATTTTCATGCATAGGTAAGGTGGCATATATGTAATAATTGAAGTTTTGGTTTTAGAAATGTAAATACATGGGTATTAAGTGGTATTTATGTAAATTTTTCTTTATACCTTTTTTGTGAACTGCAGAGCTCTTCCCCTTTGTGCTTATATAAACTTATTTTGTTAGGCGGCTAAGTCTATAAAGATTTATAGATGAGCTTTTCAGAGTTTATTTTTCTAGTCTTGTTTGCATATTCGATGTGTGGGTTGGGCCATAAACGAACCAATGCACTCGATGAACAACTCGAACTCACTTGATTAAGACTCAATCACATTCATTTAAATTAGTAAATAAATAAGCTTGAACAATTTTTAAAAGCTCAGAGCTTAAATAAACTAAGCATTAACATAGTCGAACTTATTCATTTATGTTTATAAACAAACTTGTTTGTTGTTTAACAAGTAACTCGTTAAATAATCGATATTAAGCTCAATGATATTTCATATCATATATGATATATTATTTAAAAAAAAATTTGATTAATTAGAACTTATTTAATTATAAATTTAATAGGAACATATTATTTTATCAATAGTATTTTTTGATTAATTATAAATTATATATTTATTTTATTAATATATAATTATTAGTTATATAATTATTTTATTGAAGTTTAGGTGTTAGATATGAAAATACATAACTTATGTGGTATGTGTGCAACACTCCTTAAAATTAACTTTAAACCCCCACAAACCTCATTTTTCCTTTGACCTCTCAAAGTTTTGTCTCCCGATTTCACTCGAAGCATACAAAACCTTGAATTGTTAGGGCGTTCAAGCATCGAAGGCGATGACGAGATCACGGTGTGCAAGGATTTCTGAATCTCTAGTCTCTTGTATATCTTCCCTTTCCGCTCATCTCATAAATCCTACTCGATTAAAAGTGGTGTTGAGAAAGTGTGGTGCAATCATTGTATCATTGTAATATTGTATGTTATATATGATTAAGAATAAAGATGGTGCAACAACTTAATATAAAAGACATACAAAATTTTCCAAAAAAGCTAGGAAAAGTACAAGTGCATATTATGGGAAAACCAACACCCTGAATGTTGGGGGGGGTGGGGGGGGGGGGGGTGCACCTTAGAAGTATGATCATGCTAAAATATGAGAGATTGCATCCCATATGGTCATGGTTCATGAGTTACCTTTCATTTTAATAGAGTTTATAATGAATAAGTTAATAGGTGCGATCAGATTTGTAAAAATATTTAATAAAATCTTTTTTTGAAAATATAAATACTCGTTTGAATTTTTAGCTTGTTTAAATACTCGTTCACTTGTTATAAATTGAGCTAATACAAATTAAGTTCAAATATTGAAAAAATTAAACAAGTCAAGCTTGAACAATGTATGAAAGCTTTACAGAAGCTCAAACTGAACATGAATAACTTATAATTATACTAAGCCAAGTCCGAACTATGATCGACTCGGCTCGATTACAGCCCAATGTGTTGGGCAGTCGTTCTTCTGCTTTTTATGTTTTATGGAGTTCTTTCCATTTGTTGACTTTGTTATTTTTTTGCAAGTCTTTAAGCGTATCATTTCCAATTAATTCTTTCAAGGTCATGATTATTTTTTGGTTATTTGAAAAGATACATTAACAATGTTCATGAATATGTTATAATACATTTATTATTATTTTTTTTTTCATAATATAGCTCGACAAAGAATCAGCTTTGTGCATAATGCCTTTAAGCTTATTGTTGTAGCTCCAAAGGTTGAAATATTACACAAAATAATTTCTTGCGTAAAATTTCTCAAATAATACGTCAATAGGAGACAATTTCGAAAGTTTTGCTTAAGTGCTGCCTGCTTCACACATGAAAATCGTAGATTTGAATATGCTTGCTGCAGCAAGAGTTCTCAAGAACCAAACAGATTAATGGAGACGAATAATGTAATAGGCTGACTGCAATGAAGCAAGAATGTTTTTTTTAATGTTTTTTCAACTAAGCAAAATTATATGGAGAGAATGGTGAGCATCATGACATTGATATTTAATGGTAAATTGAAATAGTCATTTTAGAGCTTGTAGTATAATAAAAGTGCGATTTGTGACTATAGTAACATGATAAATCACGTAAGGTTCATAAGGATTTTAAACCTTTTTATTGACAATTTCACTTTTTCTTTAGATTTCCAAGCTTATGGTCCCTAATTTATAGATAAGCATCATGTTATAAACTTTTTTGTAGTGTGCTATGTAAAACAATTGTTCTTTGGTTATTGTCTCATCCACATCATACATGCTGGACGATGAACGTGCTTGGATTTCATCTCACATATGATGTAATTTAGTTTGCTGCTGGCACTAAATTCTGATGTTTGAAATATGATGAATTATTAAATTCAGTTTCCACATCATGCTGAAATGATCATCTGCCTCTACGGCAACACTTTAAAGAAATATTTTTTTCAAACTAACAAATTCCAAATTTAATGTTAAAATTTGATGCATGCCTTGTTTTTCAAATTTTGGTTTTTGGTATTTTTTTCCTTTGTTTTTTTTAAAATAAAAATCTTTCCAATATATTTTATAAAGTAAATACAATTTCAATTATAAAATTTAAGAAAATTCACTATGGGGACAAATCTTCAAGTCGAATGAGTATACAAGCCTAATATTTTTTTTTTTCAAAATGTGAGCAACCAACCAGCAACCAACCATGTAAGGAGTCTTCATATGTGTGGGAGAAATGTACATCTTTTTTGTGTGTGAAAGAAAGGAGCGTCCAAAGTATTTTCTTGAGCCTAGGTGTGTAAAGAGACTCAATTGCAGTGTAATATATACATTTCTCCTCATTTCTTCATAGTAAATTTCTTGTTATGGTATGACTCCATGATTTTTTCTTGTTCTCAGGTTTTTTCACTTTTAATCTTGGTGTTTTGTGTCTTTCTTACTTTGTGTTTCTGTTCGAAATATTTGCTTCTAATCTCTCGAATCAGTGTTCCTTGTTTCATAGTAATTAATCTCCAGTCACAATAAGTGATATCAGAGAGAGGTTTTCAAAGATTTTTAATTCGAGTGGGAGGCTAATGAAACGAGGTATAAAGTAGAGAAAATCAACGGTTCAAATTTTGCTTTCTAGAAAATGCAAATTGAAGATTTATTATATCAAAAGAAACTATATTTGCCGCGGGAAGGAATCACCAAGAAATCGGAGATGATGACTGGAAAACTTTTCTAGGTTTGATCCATCTTGCACATTCTTCATTTTCTGCTTTTGACATTGTGAATGAGAAGACTACTGTTGATTTCATGCCTGCACTAGCATGGATGTATGAGAAACCCTCAGCTTCAAATAAAGTTTTTCTTATGAATAAATTGTTCAATATGAAGATGGTGGACGATAGTTTAGTGACTGAGCACTTGAATAAATTCAGCACTGTGACTAATTAGTTGTGTTATGTTGGCATCAAATTCGATGATGAGGTCAAAACATTGTTAGGATGAACTAGTCATTGTAGTGAGTAATTTTTAGATAACTTGAAGTTAAACTTTGATGATATTGTGGGGTTAGTGCTAAATGAAGAAGTTTGCACGAAGACATGCGACAAAATTTTAAATTTTTCTCTGAATGTTGAAAATATAGGAAGAAATTTGTATAAAAATGCAAGCAAAAAAGGATTCAAGGCTGTGAGAGGACAGTTTAGGTCAAAGAGGGAGAAAGATAGAGGTGAATGCTGGAACAGCGGGAATAAATGTCACTTCAAGACGTACTGCAAAGCTTTACATGTTGGTGATTGAAGTCCAAATAGAAAACTCTCTACTAATGTCTCCATCGATGAAATCCAACGCAACTCCATTGTTTTATCTATAGACAGTATTGAATCATGGGTAGTGGATTTAGATGCTTCTTTTTATGCTTATCCCAACAAAAGGTGTTAAAAAATTATACTCAAAAGTAATCTAGGGAATGTATATTTTGGAGATAACAAGACCTGCAATATTATAGAAAATAGTGATGTTGATATCAGGTTGTCAAATGGATCAAGGTGATTTGTGGAAGGGGATTAGAGGCAATAGTGATGGATCAAGTCAACATTGAAGACATCCTTTTCCTGATCAATGACATGCTTGAATCCATTAGTGTAGTTGGAACAAAAGTTGATGTAGGTTTATGACACTGTAGACTTGGCTATATGAGTGAGAAATATATGAAGTATCTTTTTTAAAAATAAACTTCAGGGTTTAAAATCTATACATTCATATTTTTGTGAAGATTGTGTTTATCACAACCAAAAGAGTGTTACCTTAAAAATTGTGTCAAACATGAAGTCCAAAAAACTGAAATTAATGCATACTGATGTATGGTGACCTACTTCAATTCAGTCTATTGAGAATTCAAAATGCTTTATCACCTCATTGATGATCACATTAGGAATGTGTGAGTGTGTTTCTTAAAACATAAATATGATGTTTTGACATGTAAGAAGTGGAAAGTTATAGTTGAGAAAAAGACAGATCTGAGGTTAAAGTGTCTCAGATCAGATAATAGTTAAATATTTTGTTGTGTATTCCTGTTAAGGGGTGGGGGTTGGGTGGATCTTTCTTGCCTGGAATGGCTCGGCGCCTAGCAGCACAGTTGTGCCTGGATCGTTCTCTGGACCCAAACGCCTGGAAACCCAAAACTCGGGACTAGCGCTCTATTACCGATAACTTTTTCTTGACTTTAGCTCTTTAACTTCTCTTTATTTGTGTGGTCGTACTCTGGATTTCATGATCTCTTATTTGTGAAAGAAAGTGGAGGAGCGTCTGAAGTGTTTTCTCGACTCCAGGAGTGTAGAGAGGTTTGAGTGTGGTGTAATTTGTACACTTCTCATTTCTTCATAGTGGATATTTTGGTGTGGTGTGGTTCAATGGTTTTTTTCAGTTCTCAGTTTTTTTCTATGTTAAATTTTGTTGTTCTTGTGTTTTTCAGTGTTTTTCTCACTTTGTATGCTTTTGTTCTAAGTTTTTGCTTTTGATCTCTCGAATTGATGTTTCCCTAGTTTTCATTTTCTAACACAACATGATCATCTTGGCAAGGTGCATCCTAAGGTATTCTTTTGTATGACACTGTCTAAACGCATCTCTTCTTTGATGATCGACTTTTATGCTATATTTATCTCTATTTTTCCATTAATAATATTTAGGTGCATTTACATACATTCCGCACTATTCTTTTGCATTAACATTCATATTTACATGCATACTACACAGCTTTTAACATCACATAAAAATATAACCATCACTATTCTTTTAAAAGTAAAATATACATTTTCATGCAAAGTTTATGAGACTAAGGTGTTTTAAGTGTAAATATCGAACTTTGGGTGTTAGATATGTAAATAAATAAGAATTGTATGACATGCATGTAATGATTTTTTTTTGTATTGTTGTTGCACAGTTTGATGACCAGGAAGTGGGACCACCATACAATACATCTGTGGCAGAGTGAGTTCCTTTAATTGGTTCTTTATATATCGTAGTTCTTTATATATCGAGTTCTTGTAATCACTTTGAATACAAAAAATAATGATGAATACTTGTCCTGAACCACTGTTTCACTTAATTTTTCATCTGATTTATTATTCTATAGCTATTTGGAGGTACTTAATCGTGTGGGTTTCAAGGCCATTTCAATTGTAGATAATGATCTAGCTGTCAAGCAACGCAAGGTACGCTTATGCTTTGGTTTTCTAGTTTTCAAGAAAATGATGTTTCACATTGTTCTTAGGCTCTGTTTGGAAGAATTCTATGGTGCTTTCCGTTTTACAAGACGCTGAAAAATTTGTTTGGCTACATTACTATTATAGAAATGCTTTGAGAAATTTCTATTTTTCTTTTATAAGCCGTATGTCACCTCCCAAAAGAGCCCTTAAGAGAGGTGGGCAGCCCAGGACTTAAATACTGTTTTTCGGCTCTACACCTAGCCGAGCCGATGTGGCCGTGACATTCTACTCCACCCAATCACGTGACGCCCTTGTCACGGATTGGCTCCACCGAGGGTCCCACTGGACCATGGAGAGTCCACACACCTGACAGACAGTAATCTGCTCTGATACCACTTGTCACCTCTCAAAAGAGCCCTTAAGAGAGGTGGACAGCCCATGACTTAAATACTGCTTTTCGGCCCTACACCTAGCCGATGTGGGACTATTTGTCCGTGACACGTAGCTGTCTTTTCAAATAACTTTAAAGTATGGCTTTACAAAAAACTACTTTTGAACAAAATTTTATAGAGAGATTTACATACATAGAGCACTCAATTCTTATGGATTTACGCATCTCACACCTAAAGTTGTACTTAGAGAATCAAAAGAAAAAGTTTTTATAAATAAAAATAGTTGGTGGTGGAATAATAATATGCAAGAAAAGATAAAATATAAGAAGTTAAGTTATAAAAATTGGTTTAAATGTAAAAGCTTAGAAAACTGAGAAAAATATTAAACGGCCCGTAGGAAGTCTAAGAGAACAATCCGTGACGTTAAAAATTTTGTTTTTAGTGATCTTTATAATAGATTAGATACTAAATGTATAAACTAGCCAAACAAAGAAAAAAGAAAAGTAAAGATTTAACTCAAGTGTATTCAAAGATGAAAATCAAAAAGTACTTTTCTTAGAAAAAGATTTTCAAAATAGCTGGACGAGTTATTTTGATATTTTTTTTAATGAAGTTTCAGAATATACGATCGAATTTAGTGAACTTAATATTATAAATAATAATAAAATGTTTCATTTTTACCGTCCCATTAGTAAAATAGAAGTTGAGTAGGCTTCAAAGAAAATTAAGGGTGGAAAGTCTGTAGAATTTGATGATATCCCAATTGAAATATGAAAATATTTAGGAGATTTGGGAGTTTCTTAGCTTACTAAACTCTTTAATATTATTTTTAAAATAATAAAGATGCCTGAGAAGTGGAGGAAGAGTATTTTGGTCTCCATTTTTAAGAATAAAGGGGATGCACAAAAGTGTGCAAATTATAGAGGAATTAAGTTGATGTGTCATACTTTAAGATTACGGGAGAGAGTAATTGAACATAGTTTAAGACGTAACAAAGATTTCTCATAGGCAATTTGAATTTATGTCAGGCAGGTCTACTATGGAAGCTATGCATTTATTGAGAGATTTGATGGAGAAGTTCTGAGATAATAAGGAGGATCTACATATGATATTTATTGATTTAGAAAAAGCTTACGATAAGGTTCCAAGAGATATCCTTTGGAGTGTTCTTGAGAAAAAAGGTGTTGATATGCCTTATATTCAAGTCATTAAAGATATGTATACAATATGGTCTTACTGGAGCTATTATTTGTGTTCGAAAAGAAAGAGGATTGACCAAATAATTTCCTATTTCTGTTGTTTTACATCAAGGATCTGCTTTAAGCCCATATCTTTTTGCTTTAGTTATGGATGGTCTTACTGGACACTTACAGGAGGATGTACGTTGATGTATGCTTTTTGTTGATGATATCCTTCTCGTGGATAAGACGAGAGAAAAAACTTAGGAAAAACTTGAATTATGGATGTCTATCTTGTAGACTAAAGGGCTTCGTTTGAGTAGAACTAAAACTGAACATATGGAATGCAGTTTTAGCAGTAGTAGCTCTAGTGACAAAAATGCAACTATGGGTGATCAAATTATTAAAAGATGTGAACGCTTTAGATATCCCGGGTCTATTGTTCAAAGTGATGATGATATTGATGGGGATGTTATTAGTAGAATTCAAGTTGGTTGGTTGAAGCGGAGGAATGTTTCTGGCCTATTGTGTGATAGAAAAATACCACAGACTGAAAGGAAAATTTTATAAGATGGTGAGACCTGCAATGCTCTATGGCGCTGAATGTTGGTCTTTAAAAGAGAAACATAAAACTAAGTTAAGTATTATCGAGATGAGAATGATTAGGTGGATGAGTGGTTCTACACTTATAAACAAAATGCGAAATGAATATATCCGTGACAGGGTTGGTGTAGCTCCAGTGACGAACAAAATTAGAGAGTCATTTTAGATGGTTTGGTCACATTAAACGTCGACCATTTGATGATCCGATTAAAAGAGTAGATGTTTTAGATTCGTCTTATGTTAAGAAAGGCAGAGGTAGACCTAGGAGGACTTCGGCATATTGTATAACAATATGATCTTAATTTATTAGAATTAAATGAAAACATGACACTAAATAGATCGCGATGGAGAAAAAGGATTCATGTATCCGACCCCACTTAGTGGGATAAAGGTTTTGCTGTTGTTATCATTGTTGCACACCTAAACTTTCATAATTACATGCATAGCATTTTACCTATGTATATGAAAAATAAATTTGGCCATTAAAAAGTATGATGAGTGATATTTTTGATGTGATATAAAAGAATAGGCTGTTATGCGTGTAAAAATAAAAGTTTTGAGGTGAGATGCGTAAATTGATAAAAATTGAGTGATATGTATGTAAATATCCCAATTTTATAAAAAGGAAAGCTCCGTGAAAGGGAACCTTAGATGCTAATATTGAAGTGCCTCAGAGATTCATATATGTCTAGTTTTATGCCCTTCTTATGGTCCATCTGCTTTGCATGTAGGAAAAAAAAAGATGATTTGAAAGTTAAATTAATTTTGTTTCTTTTCTGTAATCTGTAAGGAAACAGCTATCTTATGTATAAGCATCTGTTAAATGTTACAGATCCCTCAAATGTAATAATTTTATTTTCATGGTCAATGAGTTTAAAACAAAATCATCAATCTATAAAAAGTGATCTCTATCTGCAAGTAATCAAATGGTTCCTCTGTAAAGATTGAATTTTGCTGCATATTGTTTAATCTGACTCTGAACTGTAAGAACTTTGGCAGGGAGCGGAGAAACTTGGAAGGTGGAAAAAAATATTGATTCAGTCATCATTATGATCGAAGGCTCTTCCGCTGGGTAATTTTATACATCACGTACCATTTGCATAAATGGGAATGAAATTTGGAAATTGTAATACATATTTATATTTCTATCCCTTAATAAAAAATTGAAGATTTACACAAATTCCACTTAACTCCTATATATTTACATATCTATTACCTATTTTAATTATATATATATATATATATATATATATATCCAACTTTCTAATGAAGATGATTATGCTAAATTGTTTGCACGTAAAACTGTACATTTTGGGGATGTGTGGATGAAGGTCCTTAAATGGACTACGGAGTTCGATCCGAAAACCGAACTCCCTGTTATCCCAGTCTGGCTAAAACTTTCGGGTTTAAAAGTCCATCTGTTCAATCATGAAATTCTGTTTTCTATAGCTGCTATGTATGGAAAGCCTTTAATGTTGGATGCTCCTACCTTTAATCTAACTAGGTCATCAATGGCTAGAATACTAATTGAAAGGGATGTTACTCTTCCTCCTTCGGAGGAAGTTTGGATAGGCTCTAGTCACACTGGTTATTGGCAACAGGTTTTGCTTGAAAAACATCCACATTACTGTTTGCATTGTTGCATGTTTGGTCATGATTCTGATCACTGTTTTCATTTGCATCCTGAATTAAGACATCCCCCAGCTGGTCGTAGAGCCTCTGCTGGACCGAAATCTACTCCTGTAATTAATTTATCTGAATCTAATACTCATTTGGTTGAAGCCTGCATTGGGCCTGCTCTCCAGGTTTAGCGGCAATTAGCGATGCTCCCCCTCTGGTCGCAGTAGCAGTGGGTGCAGCTCTGACTCCTGAAAGAAATGTTGAAAATGTGGAACCTATCATTTCATATGTTCCGGAATCTGAGCCACAACCTCCTCAGATATTTTCTGATGAACATTTTGGAGTGTTTGTTCCCCCACCTGAAATGTCTCATCCTTCCACTTCTATGCCTACTTCTCCAACGCAGGACCCTTCCTCTTCGGCTTCCTTGGCTCTTGAATCTGAATGGCAGATTCAAAAATATAGTAGGAAAAAAGGACGAAGGAAATCTGAACTTCCAAATATGTCACAATCAAATAATTTGGATGTCACTTATTATTCGGAGGGCGAATACTTGCACCTTCCCTCTAGGATGACTAGGAGGGAAGGTGTCGTGGGCCAACATGTTTAATATTTTAGTGTGGAGCATTAGAGGAGTGACAGACCCTCACTCATTTAATCGTTTAAAACATTTATGTAGGGTCCATAAACCTGAAATTTTTGTTCTTTTAGAACCTATTGTTACAATTCACAAAGAGGAAATTATTAGGAAATTCAAGGGATACATGCATTTCAGCAATGTGAATAATAAAATTTGGAATTTTTAGCAGAAAGACATCATTCTGAATATTATTGATGATAATGTGCAGTATGTTCTTATTCATTATCAGTTGAAGAATTTTTTGGGTTGGGTCTTTGGCAACAACTCACGCATATGGGTGCAACTATTACTGAAAATTGGTTCATTGGTGGAGATTTAAATATGATTATGTCGCCTTCTGAGAGATGGGGTGGTGCTAAAGTTGATACGAGTCTTATTAATCGTTTTTGTGATCATATTGAGGATGCTGGCTTTTATGATTTAGGCTTTTCGGGTCCTCATTTTACTTGGCGGCGGGGTTTTCTTATGCAAAGATTGGACAGATTTTTGGGGAACTCAGCTTTTATGAGTTACTATAACATTATTCATGTCAAGCATCTTAATCATGCTGCTTCGGACCATAATCCTATTTTGCTTAGTTTGGTTTTTCACTCCAAACCTGCTCGTTATCATTTTAAATTTCTTAATGTTTGGACCACTCATCCTATATTTATTGATGTGATTAAGCAGGCATGGGTCTCCAAGTGGAGTGGAAATCCTTGGTTCATTTTATGGCAATTACACAAGAATGTTGTTTATCATTTAAAAAGATGGAACATAGATGTTTTTGGCAATGTTCATTCTAGGATGTTGAAAGCCCAACAAGAGGTTGACACTTTAGAAGCTCATATGGTTGTCACTCCTGATCTTGTGGCTAAATTAACGGATGATCACCATACACTTTTGGAGGAAATCTCGATTGAAGATGATTTCCTAAGACAAAAAGCTTGTGACAATCATTTCAAAGATGGTGACAGAAACACCTCATATTTTCATGCTACATTTAAACATCGTCGAAACATTAATACCATTATTAAGATTGTTACTGATGAGGGCTCTGTTCTCACTGATACTGAGCAAATTGGTTCTAATGCTGCTGATTATTTCTCTTCTTTATACGCTGATACTCACCCTGTTACAGATATTCTATCCAGTATGTTTGAAGATCAAAGGGACGTAGTTTCCTCCCTCTCTCTGTCCGATCCTCCTATTGAGGTGGAGATTTTTACTGCCCTCAAAGATATTAGTTCTCAAAAAGCTCCTAGTCCTGACAGTTTCACTTCCACTTTCTATATCGCTTGCTGGGACATTATTAAGAAAGAGGTGGTCATTGCTATTCAAAGCTTTTTCCAAGGAGATGACCCTGGAAAGTATTTCTCAGCGGCTCTGATTGTTCTTATTCCTAAAAATAATGATAAATCCCATTGGAAGGACTTTAGACCCATCTCTCTCACCTCTGTGATCACTAAAATTATCAGTAAAATTATTGTGACTCGTCTCCAACCTCACATACCTTCCCTTATATCCCTTCATCAGTCGGCCTTTATTAAACGTCGTGATATTTCTGATAATATTCTTTTGGCCCAGGAAATTTTACAGGACCTTGACAAAAAATGCAGGAGTGAGAATTTTGTTATCAAACTTGACATTAAGAAAGCCTTTGATACCATTAATTGGGACATCATTTTTAATGTTCTGAAAGCTCGGGGTTTTAACACAAGCTTTTGCAATTTGATCAAAAGATGGTTGGCTAACAACTTCTATTCGGTTCTAGTCAACGGAAACTCCTATGGTTTTTTTTACAGCGCGTCGTGACATTAAGCAAGGAGATCCACTTTCCCCTATTATTTTCATTTTAACTTTTGATTATTTTTTCATGACGCTCAATCATTTCCAGTTTTCACATCCTCACACGCAGTTCTCACACAAAGCCAGAATGATGATTTCTCTCCTTGTTTCCGCAGATGACATCATTATTTTTGCTAATGCTTCTAAACTTTCTATAAAAAATGTGATGGGGCTGCTACACTGGTCATTATTTTTGCTACGCAGTTCTCTGGGCTACGCTTTAACTGTGACAAGTGTCAGATGTTTTTTGGTAAGCAAGTGAAACATCATATTATTCACTGGGGAGTTGCTTACACTGGTTTTCATCACGCCTCTCTACCTCTTAAATATCTCGGGGTAAATTTGATACGGGGAAGAAAGAAACAGATACAAATGTATGATGTTATTGATAAAATCAAACAAAAAATTTACGATTGGAGGAATGTTTTTCTTTCTACTGAGGGCATGATCTCTTTACTTTCTAGTTTGCTACAGAGTATCCCATTATATGCTTTGCAAGTGTTTAACCCAAAAAAGTTGCTATCAATGTGATGGAGATGCTTTTCAATAAATTCCTTTGGGTTGGGAATGGAGCAAAAAAAATTTGGGGTTCTTGGCGTAAATTTTGCAAACCTAAAAAGGCTGGTGGGTTCGGTTTTAAAACCTTGAAGCATACCGTGGAAGTTAATCCTTGCAAACTTCGGTTTAAATTCAGATTGGGCTCATCTCTCTGGGCTACTTTTTTACATAAAAAATATTGTGCTCATACTCATCCGTCCCTGGTTTCGTGGATAGTTGGTGATTCTCGTATATGGAAAGTTATTGTTAATGCTAGAACCACTGCTAATGACTTCATGTTTTGGGATATAAACGAGGGTAATATTTCTTTCTGGAATGACAATTGGGGGTTGTCCCATCTCTCAGACTACTCCCACCCCAAGCACAATAATTCCCTTTTAGTCTCTGATTTCTTTACTAATGATGGTTGGGATTTTTCCAAATTATGTTCTATTGTGGGGGAACAAATTGGAAAGCATATAATTACTATTCCTACTACCCCTTCAAGAAGGGATCTCCTCTTATGGAAAAGAAACAACTCCCAATCAGTTTGCAAGCTTATTTATAGCACTTTACACTCACATCGTGATTGGTTTTGGGGGAAGTTGATTTGACATAAATTGTTAACTCCCTCTATCTCCTTTTTCCTTTGGCGTTATCTCACATTTTTAATTCTTATTGATGATATTCTCAAGCTTAAATGTTTAAAATTGGCCTCCAGATGTAGTATGTGCAAAATGGAGGAAGACACGAGACATATTTTTTTCGAATGTGCATTTTCCTTAAAAGTTTGGGATATGATTGCTTCTTATTTTGATTTTTCGTGGATGCATAGAGGCTCTTTAAGCAATTATCTATGGCATTGGAAAGATTTTGATGATAGTAAAGGGGGTTTCCCCCACCCCCCCAGCTTCTATGACGGTTGCATATGTGATTGCCTATTATAACAAAGTCTTAAGAGTTGTTTCCACTGATGTTACCGTTTTAAAGCCTCCTCGGCTCGTTAGGTGGACTCCTCCCCCACTAAATTATGTTAAATTAAATGTGAATGACTGTTGGCATCGGGAAGAGGAACCCCTAGGGGTTAGACAGGGATCCTCCCCACCCCAAAAAAAATAAAAATAAATATGTGTATAGATATATTATATATATTTCACCTGTGCCGCGTACCCCGACCTGTTGGTTGACATCTACAATATAAGACCCCTCAGATCAGTGGTTTCAATCCCTTCTGACACAATTGACTTTTAAGAGGTGGTACTTGAATTGTTAGATATTATGAGTGGTTGGAGGCTCCTATAATAGCCTCTGACCATGCCTTTGAAAAAAAAGAAAATAAAAGATTTGACAGGTATAATTGTAAAAAGTAAAGTTTAGGTAATAGCTATGTAAATACCTAGGAATTGAGTTGTATGTATGTAAATGACCCAAAATTAAATTAGTAACTATCTAATGGCATTTGTTTGATTAACATTTAAATTTGCATGACTTGGGCAATCAAGTGAAAGCATGGATGCAGTTATTTTAGGACTTTA